GGTGATGGCGGGAGGACGAAGAGCACGAGCCGCTGATGCTCGGAACTGACGGGGCCAATCGGCATTTGCCGAAAGTCCGGAACGCACGGATGACGCGACTTCGCGACAGCCACAACTTGAACTTCCCTCTGCCCTTCGCCACCGTCCTCCTTCCTGTTGCGCGCTCTACTCCTTTGCCGCCCTGTAAGGCGAACTCGACGGTGCACCCGTTTCGTTCTTTGTGTCCCACTCGTACACTATGTTTTCCGCCCGTCCCGTGCCTATACGCCGGCCAATGGACTGTTTGGGGATGGAGGTGCAGGTTCATCGTGACCCGTGTGCGGGCGTGTAATAGGTGTGTGGCATGATGCCTATTCAACAACTACTGCTGACTTGGTTCTAGGATGTCGTGTTTTCAATTCTGCCGACTTCGTACGTTTTCGTGGGCCATCGCCCGGCCTCGCACATGTCGCTAGCCCCTCTCGCGCTTCCCTTCCGTGATCACACTACCCTGGACAGTCTTTGTATCACTCCATCATTGTTTCTGGTTTCGCAGATGTACATAGTCTTATTTTCTCCAAAACATGTAGTATGTACTCGCTCGAATATATGATATTGTTCTTACGAATTACCCGGTGACCGCATTCGACGAGCACGAGGTCGTTGGCCATGTTTCGGAGCATGCGAACGACCCAGGGAAGTCGTCAACAATACTCAATTCCATTGTCATAGACAGCTGAGGTGTCATTGTAGCGACTGAACGCGTTCAGTTGTCTGAACGCATTCAAGCGACTGAACGCGTTCAGCCGTCTGAACACATTCATGCGACTGAACGCGTTCAGCCGACTGAACGCATTCAAGCGACTGAACACGTTCAGCCGACTGAACCCATTCAAGCGACTGAACGCGTTCAGCCGTCTGAACCCATTCAAGCGACTGAACGCGTTCAGCCGACTGAACACATTCAAGCGACTGAACGCGTTCAGCCGACTGAACCCATTCAAGCGACTGAACGCGTTCAGTCGCACGAATGTGTTCACGCGAGTGATCTTATTCACGCAGTTGAACATGTTCGCATGCCTGAACGCATTCAGGCGACTGAACATGTTCGCGAGCGTGAATATGGGTCACGTCTGATCACCTCTCAACCTCGCGCGCTCGCGCCTCCGCCTCTTGTTCTTGACCACCATGATCGACGGCCGCCCTGCCCATAGCACAGTAGAGTATTTTCCTTACAATATTTATGACATTTCTTTTGGCTCAGGCCTGGCACCCAGCGTTGCTGTGTGGGCCAGCCCCAGGTCCTTTGATCGATCCCATACCCTCAGAGCTTGCGTGCCGAGGCTCGCATGAGTGCATTTTAGCGCTTAGCATTCATAGCAGAAAGTGATATGGGTGTGACGAGGCAGCCGGCGGACCGGCAATTGGAAGGCCGGCGAATAACCGGGTTTGATAATCCCGCACATCAATTGTTAGGGGTTTTGATAATCCCCCCCTTTCACTAGTGTGCCGCCGGCTCTTACTGGTATGAGACGGGCGCACAACGTGAGTCTTCGCTTTTGCCTCCTCACCTCCTTCATGATGGGCTTCGGCCACTAGTCATCTAGCATGTTAGACTACCAAGCATCTTATGCGGATAACTCCGACTCTGATTCCGTTCTTTGCAATCCTCCCCCTCGCGTACATCCCCGCTAACCACCTTTTGTCAGTTGCCAGACTCGTTCGAATTTCAAGACAATACAATCAATGCGACTTTGAGCCTTTGTAACTGAAACCCTCTAATATACACCATACATTACGATAGCAAGATGCGGAAATACATGGAGCAATGCATTGCGAAGACATAATTTGTGCGACAAAGTCAGAGCATGATCCATAGCCTCAACCCGGAGCAGTCCATTCATGCAGGTCCTGGAGGCTTATACGCCTTGAACTTCTTGTTGGAGTATCCCACAGTCGGACGACCCATACCCAAACGCCGTTTCGTACCTGCTACCGGCGCTGGTGGAGGGGTTGGTGCAGGAGCGGTGGGTATAGAAGCGGCCTCGGTTGCTGGTGCACGCGATGGTGCTCTGGCTTCGACCTTAGTTCGAGGATAGGCAGGTGTTGCTCGCGGTTGCGTTGCGACTCGTGAAGGTGGTGACGGTTGCTTGCCCGTCTGCGACCCAGACGATATGGAAATGTGTGCCTTTAGAGTCGTCTGCGAGGTTGGGCGCGCAGTTGCTTTCGAGACTGGCTTGTTCGCCTTCCCAACCGGACGCGAATTGCCCTTCGTAGCTATGGAGGGCGGTTTGAGGGGAGCGGTCCGCGGCGGCGGCGGGCTCGGTGGCTGTAACCATTCGTCTTCATCAAGGAACATGTCATCGTACTCATTGAGCGCCGCGCGTGCAACCTGCTTCTGAGGTTGGGTCCCTGAAGAGCGTCGGTTCATGTCTCGAGGTGTCAGAGGTGAAGTGGGTCGAGTTGAGGTCGTTACTTGACGAGGCGGTGTCGCAGAACGTTTCACGGACGCTGCAGACCGTGGAGCACGAGGGGGACTGGGCGGCTGCGTCCAGTCGTCATCGTTCATGAAGTCGTATTCGTCACCGCTTGCAGGCGTCGGTAACTTGGAAGATGAAGCGATAGGTTGTCCCGAATCCGATGATGTACGGCGCGTCGGAGGCTCTGGACTGGGTGACCATGCGATGAGCACCTCTTGGCTGGGTGGCGCAGGCGGCTCGTCAAAGCGCGGCACATCTATAGGCTCCTCTGGCTCATATGCCGGACGCGGCTTGGGCATATACGGTGCCCTCTCTTGCGACTTCGAGTAATACACGACGTCGGCACGGTCGAGGGGGTGCACGGGAGGAGGGGGTAGTGGTCGAGGGGCGTCGGGTGGCGGTAGTGGTGGTTGGCCAACTACAGGCTTCGAAGGTCCTGGGGCCTCACCTCGCCTCTGCTGCTGCAGCAACATGAGCCCCGCGGCGTTGAAGCCACCCGCTGCCTGGACCTCAGCCCTGGTCACTTGTTCCCCTGAACCTGTCTTGTTCGCCCAGTGTTGGAACTGCCCTGCACGGATGAGCTTCGACTTAACACCGCGGTAGTCGTCCGTATCACCGGGCCCGTACTCTTGGGGTCTCAAGAGATGCCGAACACCTAGAATGATTCGTCAGACAGATACATGAGTGACCTATTAAGAAGACGCACTCTGGAATCCGGGAAGCTCCCCGTTAACAAGTGCTTCATTCGATTTCTTCTGGGCCTCCATTGGGTCCATTCCACTCGCCACCAACCTCTTCGCCTCCTCATCGGCGCCCTCATAGTATTTCTGGAGGTTCTCTGCCTCTTTCTCGGTAGGCCCATGCGGTCTTGCAGCAACTGGAGGTTGTGGCCACGGATGGTTCTGAGCTATGAGATCCCATAGACGGATTTTCAGGTTCGTGGCGTCGCTGGATGGTCTGTAAGCAAATAATCGCATCTTAAGATGAAAATGTACGTACAATGCGGCTGTCTGACGTGAGCACAGTTCTGAATCGGGCTCTGGTCGCCGCAACACTGTCGCCAACACCGATATATTCTCCGGATTCAGGTTAGGCACCTCCGGGCTCATCAAGCGCTACCATGGCTTATGAGAATGGGCTATGGTATGTATCTTTTGGACTGCGTACCTTGTCGTCTTTCAAGGGAAACAGAACAAAGCGTGACAGTTCATGGGCCTCCGTCTTCGCGTTGATCATGCGCTGGCCACAGTGCGTCATGTAGAGCAAGCCTTGCGCGCGAGTTGCAGCAACATAGAGCAGACGCCGCTCCTCGGAGAAGTTGTCCGCGCGTTTGAATGGAAAGATGTCGGTCTCCACGCCTGGCACGAACACAACAGGCCATTCCAATCCCTTCGCTGCGTGGCAGGTGGACATGGTGACCTTCTGCATTGTAGAGTCAGCTACCCGAGATGATAGAGAGGCGGGCATGACAACGCACATTCATGTCGTCTCCAGCATTGGTCTCCGTATCTGTGGCCAGCATGGAGTTCTGCAAGAACTCACGGAGGGGTGTAAGCCTAAAGGAGCAGTTAGACACCGCGAGAGAAAGGACAGAAATGACTAACTGTGGCTGTTCGTCATCCCCGGGCCCAGCTACCCCGTCAGACTGGCCCTTCGCCTTCTTCCGGCCCTTGGCGCTCAACGTCCTGGGCATCTCCTCTTCCGAGTCTGAGCCAATTTCAATGACCTCCGGCTCCTTCCGCACTACCCTGGCCGGCGTCCTTGACTGTCCGCCATCTTCAGAGCCCGCTCCCTCATCTCTCTCAAGGATCTTGTTCAGCTCGGTCGTCTCTGCGCCAACCTGTGCCTGCGTTGCGAAGCTCAACAATTCGGCAACATTCTCGGTACGATGGTCAGCCTGGTCCTTGTTCTTTGCGAGGTATGCGTAGTAGTCGGTCAACTCGCAGACAGCACGGATGAGATCCGCGGGTCCCATATCCTGTGACATAGAGTTAGCCGCGGACACCGGCGAGCATCCAGAACAAACGTACGGCGGCGGCATGCTTGCGGAGCTGGCGTATGATCTTCACGTATGGGGAAACCTTCTTCTTGACCGGTGGCTTATTGTCAGGTATGCGTCCGTCGACTATGGCCTCGCACACAGCCAGAGCTGAGATCTTGTCCTTCTCTGCACGTGCCACTATCTGCGCGACGCTCTAAGAACCTCCTAAGTGACCGAACCCGTTGATGATGGAGAGTTTGACTACACCTTCTCGCCTAGTCCGCGGGGTGGTGTATTGACCGTTCGCATGAACGCAGGAAGAAAGAGCGGGTTATCCACGATCTGTAGATACGCCAATAGATCCTTAATTTCGGCACGGTCGAAGAACTTGTGGCCCTTGTGCATGCGGTTTGGGATGCCTTCGATCTGCAGGGCAGCCTCTATGTTGCGCGAGAGTGCTCCATATCGCACTGTATAGTGCATGAGTTGAACGAAAAGAACATGCGATAGCAAAGGACGTACGCAGAATTACGAAGTCTTGCCATTTGAGCATACCACCGCTTGCAGCCATAACGCGTTTGATCTCAGCTGCGATGAACAGAGCCTCAGCGTGCTCGCTATGAAACCAGCACAGCATTGGCTTCGGGCCGCAAGCGTGATCGGTGTGTAGCGACTTGGCAATGCGCGTCTTGTCTACGCAAACGTCAGCCATCCAATGCACGCTCATTGTAAGGGATGACATTGTACCTTGAGCGATGATAGCGTGACTAATGGAAAGGATAGACGATGTCGAACGGTAATTCTGTTCGAGATATATCTGTTGCGTTCGAGGAAAGTCTAGACACCCATATTAAGCTGGATGTTTAAGAACTAGGCGCATACACTGACCCCGCTTCATGTTCTGAATGTTCGTTACATCCGCAGATCGCCACCCGTATACTATTAGGAGGTCAGATCACGCCCTGCGAAAGACGGGTGAATGCATACTTGACTGATCGGGGTCGCCGACAATTGTGACGTGATCGTGAGCACCAGCTATGTGTTTCATGAGGGCATATTGTAGCGAGTTCGTGTCCTGGCTGTGAAGTTGGCGTCAGACATAGCGGAAGCTCAAAAGCGAGAAGGGTCGTACTATTCGTCGACCAAGACGTGCCGACACCACCGCGTAACCTTCTCCCTGTTCTGTATAGGCTCGACAAGTCTGACGCCGAAGATGAGAAGATCATCGAAGTCGACACAGTTGGTCTTGCGGTTCTCCTCCTCGTAGTCCTTCCATACCATGACCGTGAACGTCACACTGAAGGGAAGGGTCTTCTCCGTCATATTCCCTCCCTTCTTGTTGCAGTACTCAATGAAGCTCTTGATATGACCCTCAGGATCGAGACCCTTGCCCTTCGACTTATTGATCTTGCCGTAGAGGTCGCGCTTCGTAAGGTTACACTTGTTCTTGTTCAGCAAGGCTTGATACTCTTCCTTCTTCATGACCTTGCCGATGAGCTTCTCACTACGAGCGAGTTAGCGCCACAACCACACCAACCACGATGACTTCAATGCACCTCTCGTCCGCGTCGAGGATCGTGAAGTTCTCGCTGAGACCGACAAGCGTGGCATGTTGACGAAGAAAGCGGGCGCAAAGCGCGTGGAAAGTGCCCATCTTCAGTTGCTTCGTGCTCGGTTTGCCGATGAGCTTCGTTAGGCGCTCGCGCATCTCGTTCGCAGCCTTGTTGGTGAAGGTCACAGCGCATATAGCCCATGGCGGAATCTTGTGTACAAGAATAAGATAGGCAATCCGAGTTGTTAGGACCTTAGTCTTTCCGCTGCCTGGGCCAGCCAAGATCTGCAGTGGGCCGACGGGCGTGTGTTCTACAGCTGCACACGAGGGATCAGTTGTGGTTGATGGCGGATTGGGTGCCAACATACACTCTCTTTGAGGCCCGTTGAGAGACTCGAGAATCTCTCTTAGCTGTTCCATAACATGAGAGTAGGCGTTTGCGGGGAATGGGAGGGAAGTATGGGCAAATGCCGCGAGTCGTGGTGGTTGGAGTTGGAAGCAAGACACGCGCGACGCGTCGAAGTCGAGTCGCGTTCACGTCTCCGAGACGCGGTCACGCGCGAGCCCAACACCGCATCAGCGCTTCGGCGTCAGCTTCGAGAGTCGAAAGCGCTGCGTACCGCCACAAGCCGACTTGCTTAAGACGTCCACCGTCTCTGGGCTCCAACTTCACCTCGCCCACCATGTTCAATCGCAACCACTCACATCATGATCAGCCCAGTAGCTACGGGCAGCCAAAGTGTGTATTGTGATCGTATTCGTGATTATCTTCGGCGTTGGACTAAAGATCGGGTAGCATGGGCTTTCCATCCCCGTACGTCTGAACCTACTTATACAATCATTTATTTTCCGCTTACCACTAGCATATAGCGAACCAGGGTTCGGCGCGCCAGGCTATAATCCGTCCTACGGCCCGCCTCCTGGTGGTCCTCCTCCACCTCCGTGAGTGACCATTAATCTAGTTGTACGTACTTTCCTCATAACGTCCCCAGGGTGAACCGCTCGATGTATCCCGGTCAAGCTGCGCACTACGGCCCGCCACCAGGCGACTACGGTGCTCCTCCTGGCCCTCCACCCGGAGGCTACGGGAACTATGGACCACCGCCCGGACCACCTCCCGGTGGAAACTATGGCCCTCCTCCTGGGCCTCCTCCTCGCCCGTCCTCCCACAACTACGGTCCACCTCCAGGGCCCCCTCCGTATGTCACTTTGACCATGTCTGGCGTACGAATATTGACTCCAATACAGCCAATCGTCATACGGTGGGTATGGCGGAGGTTACGGAGGCGGTAACGACTACGCTCCGCCTTGTAAGTACCGCCCTACGAGGTACTGTACTTGTCTGATCGATCTTTCTTAGCTGGTCCTCCTCCCCGCCCTCCTGCTCGGGAGCAGCACTACGGCCCTCACTTCCAGAACAATGGCCAGGATCAACAACCGTACTTCATGTACTCGCAGTGTACTGGGAAGCGCAAGGCACTCTGCGTAGGTTGCTACTCACACGTGTAGTATACCATGGCTGACGCCCGTTTACAGATCGGTATCAACTACTTCGGACAGAACGCGGAATTGAAGGGATGCATCAACGATGCACGTAATATACAGCGTTTCTTGATGGGTAAGTTCACATGTGCATCCGGTGTGGCGTCCTGGCGCTCACATTTGTCCAGAGCGTTACCAGTACAAGAAGGAAGATATGGTCATGCTTACAGACGATCAGCAAGATCCGCGTTCTCAGCCGACGAAGGAGAACATCATCCGCGCAATGCAATGGCTCGTTTCGGACGCGCAGCCGAATGACTCGCTGTTCTTCCATTACTCTGGGCATGGCGGTCAAACCAAGGATCTGGACGGCGACGAAGCTGACGGCTACGACGAGGTCATCTACCCCGTCGACTTCAAGCAAAACAGCCACATCGTCGACGACGTTATGCACGACATCATGGTCAAGCCTCTTCCTGCCGGATGCCGCCTCACTGCGATCTTCGACTCATGCCACTCGGGATCCGCACTTGATCTTCCGTACATCTACTCGACGGAGGGCAAGGTCAAGGAACCGAACCTCGCCGCCGAAGCTGGCCAGGGCTTGCTCGGCGCTGTCTCCAGCTATGCCCGTGGCGACATGAGCGGCGTGTTCAGCTCAGTCTCCGGTCTTCTGAAGACTGCAACGGGTTCCGACAAGCGCGCGAACGAAAAGGCCAAGCGCACCAAGACGAGCCCGGCGGACGTCATCTCGTGGTCCGGTTGCAAGGACAGTCAGACCTCCGCGGACGCTTTCGAGGCGGGTACTGCGACGGGCGCGATGTCGTTCGCATTCATCTCGGCTCTCAGTCAGGGTGGCGAGCAGAGCTACCAATCGCTGCTTATCACGATTCGTGGCATCCTGAAGGCCAAATATTCGCAGAAGCCACAGCTGAGCAGCTCTCACCCCATGGTACGTGCCTTGTCATGCTGCCTAGGCAGTTGCTGACTATCATACAGGATACGAACCTGATGTTCACGATGTAGACAATGCATGAATACGTCATTGTCGCATGTGGTTGGCCTGCATGAATTTTGTCTGGACAATGTAGGAGTATGTATGGGACTGTATCTCTATGAAGTCGAAGCTATCGCTTTTGTATTGCACGTCTTTGCCTTGATTGTACCATCTTGAATTTACTCGTGTATCGCATCTTCACGAGCCCCTTGAGAAGAAACACCAGACAAATGCCAAAACCCACACGGACGCGCCCACGTGAGAGACGCGGTACACGCGCCAGCTGGCGCGTGTAAAGAAGTTCTGAGCACGGCAATCTCCTGGCCAAATGCTACCATGTTCCAAAGATCAACGTTGCCCGAAATGATGTGCGATGTCTCATATACGACGATCAATGCGCCATATACGCCGAGCGTGAGGCCGAAGTGCGTGCGCAGAGCCTTCGACCGTTACCGCCACCATCATGCCCGGCCTAACAAAAACTACCCTTGAGCCTACGACCGCTCCCAAGAAGCAACCCATATTGCCCACGGAACTCCTCCTACACATCTTCAACTTAACCTACCGCCGAAACCCTGCATGGGACCTCTCACCAAATGGCCAGCTCCCTCGCTTCGCACGTGTGTGCAAGGGCTGGCTCCCAGCTGCGCGAATGGCTCTATACTCGGTGGCATACCTCAGTCGCGACAGCGACGAAAATGGTCCCCCGTCGAACTGGATATGCGGTGCACTCAAACGCACCCTGCGCGAAACCCCCTCACTCGCCTGTCTGGTTCTCGAGGTTCATTTCTCGTGTCCGGAGAAGGAGGGGGTCATGGCCACCTCGGATGCCTCAAAAATTCTCCGGCTATGTCCCAATCTTCAGCGCATAGTGTTCCTGGGTTGGAGTAACTATCGACTCGGGCATCTACGCCATGCACTCGAGAGCCTGCACTCGCTCAAACACCTCTTGCTATCCCCATACCCCATCACCGGCGCACGAAGCGACCCATTCTGTCACCTCCCGGACCTCTTTCGCCTACTTCCTCATTGGCCACACTTGCGTACATTGCTCATCGACCGCGACGGCCTTGGCTGGGATCCGGAGTCTCCGAGTATGTTCGGCGCCGCCGCGGAGATGCTATCCCAAGCAGACCGCGACGCATTGCGTCTAACATGCGCTTTCCCGACGTCCGAGGAAGTGTGCAAGCACCTCGAGCGCGTGTCAATCATGTCTTCGCTCGGCGATCGACACGTCGCCGCCCTCGCACGCATGGCGCCGCGACTGCGAGAACTCACGCTGCCGCAGGCGGGCGGGTTGTCGATGCTATCACTCCGACCCGCCCTGCGGACGTGGGCTGAAACACTAGAAGTGCTGCATCTGAATGTGGCGGATGATAGCGACTTCGTGTTCGGCGTATCAGAACCTGGTGACGGCGAGCGCTGTTGGGCGCTCGACGAAGCGCTGGCTAATCTGCCGCGCCTGAGAGAGTTGACGACGAGGACGGCTGTTGTGCACCCTTCGGCTTTTGGTCAGGGTTTCGACGCACTCGAAGATCTGTCTTTGTTCGGCGTTCAGCGTGGCGAGCTCCTGTCGCTGCGGCTTGCGGTCGACAAAGCGCTTCCCAGCCTACGCACGTTACAAGTGACGATGCAGGATAGGACGTGTCCGGTCGCGGCGTGCGAGTCTAGTTGCGTCGCCCGTGGAGTACAATTCGCGGATGGCTTGAAGTGCGGGGCGCTAACCCGCTTGAACGATTTCTGTTCGAAGCGAGGACTCGAAGGGGATCTAGGACAGGCGATCTTTGATGGGATTGAGGATGCTCTTGAGTACAAGGCGTGGCGCGATCGAAATCCCGAAACTGGCGAGGGCGCGCCTTGGAGGGAGGAGACCTTCGAGGACTCGGACGAAGATGATTTCTGAATAATTGGCGCGTTGGGCACGCGTACGCACATATACCTAGATCTCCGTCACTACTCGCTACACTATACTCATTGTAATGTGGAGAACATCTTTATACCAGATAACGACGCAGTCACGTCGATCATGACCTCTTGCAATCACTACCAATCCTGCTACTTGGGCAAAATGCTACTATCTTGACCGATCAGACTGTGGATTGTGTGGTAAGACAGATTGAAATGGGCGGTCGCATATACGAGGCCGACGCAGTTCGCGGTGGTGTGAGTTGCGCGACGCAAACGGAGCTAGCAGGGCGTCCGCCGCGAGCATTTCCCTATCATCCTGCGGAGACGGCGATGGTGTATGGTCTGCGCCCACATTTGTTTACTCTTTCCTGCAATAGAGGCACGCATACGGACCAACAGCGCGTCTGCATCGCATATCATCGGGCTGCCTGGTTGTAACCCAATGCCGAACCGATCTTCTGACAGCAGACAACTCCCAGCGTATCAATCGCGCTTCCGAGCTGCGTCCCAAGGGTGTCTGTATGCCTTCGCAGCGAATCAGATCTCAGTACCACGAACGTACCTGATGAGAAACGGCAAAAGGCCGAGCGTCTCCGAAGCCAGAACCTAACCAACTTGCAGTCAATACGGGACGAACTTGGATGAAAGACTCAGAGATGAAGAAGTCTAGACTTGGGATCGATCTTATGTGTATTCCCGGCTGTATCAAGTCAACATGAGAGCATTGCCACTCGCGATCCCGACGAGGGTCAACGTGATTGGTGCTGCACTGACGCGCAATAGGGGTTTTAGACACGAAATTGGTAAAGATCTCCCAGGCGTTCATCGCGGCCGGCGGAGGTCTGTGCACGACCGCGGTCACAGTCGGTTTGACGGTTGCCCAGTGCCCATGAGAAGATATAACATAGCCAATCGAAGCTCAGCAGTACTGAGCTAGGCAAATCGCTATCATGTATGAGAGGATGCGCTCGAAAGGGCAGAACATTCGACCGAAAACAGGACGATCGGGAGGTTGGGGCGGCGAGCGGGCTCGGAGTGACTTCATAGCCAACGCGGTACCAACGCGGGTGCCTGCCTCAACAACAAACGGGGAGACGATTGGGCGGGCGAGGTTGGGCTCCACGTAAAGTCCGTATTTTTTGGTGCGCAGGTCACAGCACCGGCGAGGTGAACGGCGGAAACAGAACGTGAGCCAACTCCGAGGGCGTCCGTCCGTGAGATCAGACCGAATCGATGTAATCAAGTACTTATACCCTCCTCCTCCCACTTTCGATCCACCACCATCACCATGTCCCAAATCCCCGAGGCCTTCCCCTTCAACCTTTCCGACTTCAAGAAGTAAGCATACTTGTATCCCAAGATCCTCTTGATCTAATCTGCTTGTGTCTAGGGTCAAGCTCGACGCATCGAGCAAGACGCTCAGCGCCGAGCAGAAGGCTGCCCTTCAGGCAAACATCCAGCTCCTGCGCGATGTCATCGTCTGCTTCACCGCAACAGGTGCTGCACGCGGCGTCAGCGGCCACACTGGTACGTGAAAGTCATTATCTGCAGCGATTCGAGTAGTTCTTAGCGTATCTGCTTTACAGGTGGTGCCTACGACACCATTCCTGAGGTCGCAATCATGCTTGGTCTGATTGAGGGCTCAGATAAATTCTTCCCCACCCTCTTCGATGAGGCTGGTACGTATATTCGACCCAGTTTACGCCCGATCTCGACTCTGATCGGCTTCACAGGTCACCGTGTTGCTACGCAATACCTTCTCTCTGCGCTCGAGGGTGCGATCCCCGCAGAGCACCTCCTCCAGTACCGCGCTGCCAACTCTAAGCTCCCCGGTCACCCCGAACTTGGTCTCACTCCCGGCGTCAAGTTCTCGTCTGGTCGTCTTGGTCACATGTGGCCCTTGGTCAACGGTGTCGCGATGGCTAACCGTGACAAGACTGTCTTCTTGCTTGGCTCGGACGGCTCTCAGCAGGAGGGTAACGACGCCGAGGCTGCCCGTCTCGCCGTCGCGCAGGGCTTGAACGTCAAGCTCTTCATTGATGACAACGACGTCACCATTGCCGGCCACCCGTCTGAGTACCTCGGCGGTTACGAGGTCGGCAAGACCCTCACCGGCCACGGTCTCAAGGTCGTTACCGTCGACGGCGAGAACCTCGATGCGCTGTGGGGCGCCTTCCACGAGGTTATCAGCTACAGCGGCCCGGCCGCCGGTACGTCGCTCCCGTCAGGTCCCAAATCGCACGCTTGCTCATACATGGTCACACAGTTGTCTCTAAGCGCAAGATGGCCCCCGGTGTTCCCAGCATCGAGGGCAGCCCGCACGGTCACGATGTGATTCCCGTCAAGGGCGCTCTTGAGTACTTCAAGCACCGCGGCATCCCGCAGGAGAAGTACGACGCCATCCAGCGCATCTACGACTCTATCCGGCCCGGCCAGGTCCCGTACCTCCACATTGGCTCCACCAAGGAGGTCGGCGCCAACCGTGTCGTCTTCGGTGAGGCCGTCAACCTCGTTCTCGATGGTCTCTCCAAGGAGGAGGCCGCCGCGAAGGTCATGGTCATCGACTCTGACCTCGAGGGTTCCACTGGCCTCAAGGCCATCCACCAGAAGCACCCTGAAGTCTTCGTCCCGTCCGGCATCATGGAGCGTGGCAACTACTCCGCTGCTGCTGGTTTCGGGTTCGAGGCGGGCAAGTTCGGTGTCTTCTCGACGTTCTCTGCTTTCCTCGAGATGGTTATCTCCGAAATCACGATGGCGCGCCTGAACAACTGCAACGTCCTCTCGCACTTCTCGCACTCCGGTGTTGATGAGATGGCCGACAACACCTGCCATTTCGGTATCAACTCGTTCTTCGCGGACAACTCCCTCGCGGACCTCCAGTCGTACCTGTACTTCCCCGCCGATGCCGCACAGATGATCGCTGTCGTGAAGAAGGTCTTCTTCCAGCCCGGCGTCCGCTTCGTGTTCTCCACGCGTTCGAAGGTACCCTACATTCTCAAGGAGGGCACCGACAAGCGCTTCTTCGAGGACGACTACGAGTTCGTGCCCGGAAAGGATGAGGTCATCGTCGAGGGTAAGGCTGGCTACGTCGTCTCGTACGGGGACATGCTTTACCGCTCGTACGACGCCGTCCTCCGCTGCCGCCAGGAGGGTCTTGACGTCGGTCTCATCAACAAGCCCACGCTCAACATCGTCGACGAGCAGACGACCATGAAGATTGGCCAGAGCCCCTTCGTTCTCGTCGTTGAGTCGATGAACCAGAAGACGTCGCTCGGCTCCAAGTACGGCACTTGGCTCCTCGAGCGCGGCCTTACGCCCAAGTACGGCTACATGGGCACGAACAAGGAGGGCTGCGGTGGTCTCCAGGAGCAGATCCCCCACCAGGGTCTTGACCCGCAGTGTACGTTCACTTTACCTTCTTTGATTCAACCTGTATACTCATTCACTCTTGCAGCGATCATCGTCAAGATCAAGACGCTCTCGCACTCCACGAACCTCTAAGCGATGTATCTCTACGGGTGATTGTACGATCGTGATCTCGAGGAAGAAGTGTAACTAGATAAAAATGCCAGACGGCCACCTGTATATGTATCGTTTTGCTGCTGTAGTAGATGCAATGCATTGCGCATGCGCTCGGCTCATCATACTCGCTCGAGAGTTCCCTGTCACAACAGCTGTCCGGCTCTAAGCCATACTCAGCCTACAGAACAGTTCCAACTCGCACGCGAAGCGGGCTAACAGGCAGTACTATACGCCCACACGTGATAAACCCGTTCAAGTGGCGTGCGCGAGACGCGTCGAAGACTCGAAGCCCGACGTAAAAGACGCGCGGGCGACGTGTTTCGCTTGGACCACGATCTCCCCGGAAGATTGTCTACATCCTATCATCCTTGTGCCATGGTTGTCGTCACCGTATCTGCGGCCGGCAGGTCGTCGCTGCTGAAGGGCTTGCCAACTACTGTCGAGTTCGAGAACAAGAGTGCCGACGCGGTGACCGTCGGCGATGTGAAGGCGGCTGTTGCAGCTAAATACCCCAAAGTGCGTCTTACGTATTCTCGAACATGCACGCGACGTTGATCAACAATAATTGTATTAGCTCTACGTTGAGAGGCAAAAGCTGTCTTTGAAGGATGACAAGAAGGCACTGGTCGACGAGGCTACTCTCGCGAGCGTTGGCATCGCGGACGGTGCGGAGCTCGCTGTGAAAGATCTTGGCCCTCAAGTCAGCTGGAGGACTGTGTTCTTGGTCGAATATGTGCGTGACACTTTATTCCGTGCTTCTGCTTTCGGCTCACGACGTGCAGGTCGGGCCGCTCATCATTCATCCGCTGTTCTACCATCTCCCACAATACATCTATGGTGGCCCAGTCCAGCATAGTGCGATCCAAAAGCGCGTACACTAGCCGGCTGGCAAGGGAATTACAGCGCTAACCTATTTGTACAGATATATCTACGCTATGGTCCTTGCGCACTACTTGAAGCGCGAACTCGAGACAATATTGTACGTGTCCGATTGCCTGTACTGGTTTGCGCAATCATTCACTCTCGGACAGCGTGCACCGATTTTCGAAGTCAACCATGCCCTTCCGCAATATCTTCAAGAAGTAAGCTCGGCAACATTCTGGCACAGGACGCTCACAACTGACATGTCTCAGTTCTGCGCACTACCATATTCTCGGAGGTGTGCCTGCTCTATGCGGTCTGGTGGCCCTGGTTGACCATGATTAGGTCTCTTCCTCGCGTACCCCATCTATGGCCCTACGTACTCGGCGCGCTCGCCTTTCGTGCAAGGAACCTACCGAGATGATCCCAACTTCTTGCTCGGCAGCGTCGCGTTCTGGCTCGTGCGTTCTTTTCGTCCACGCAACCCCGACCGCATGCTGATTTCACCCTCCGAAGTTCTGTGAACTCTCGAACTTTAAGACGCACCTCACTACCAGTAACTTGCGACCCGCAGGCTCTCGCAAGCGCGCCGTACCGTACGGCTATGGCTTCAACCTCGTGTCCTTCCCGAACTACTTGTTCGAGTCCCTCGGATGGGTGACCGTCTCTGTTATGACGGGCAGCTGGGCCGGTACGTCGCACGACTCTCGCTTGTATTCATGATTGATCTTTCTCACATAAACCTCCTTCGCTTGCAGCATGGCTCTTTACGGCAGTGTCCGCTGGCCAGATGTTGATCTGGGCGCAGAAGAAGCACAAGGCGTATAAGCGTGAGTTTGGGAAGGAGTTCCCGCGCGGGCGCAAGGCCATGATTCCTTTCCTCTTTTGAGATAGAGGTTTATGCTTTCCGATGCCGTGCTATGTTGAAATCAAAGTTGCTCTGATTGAAGGAATGCTACTCTGAACTCTATCGCTGTGGAATGGGGATCCTCGGTGAGCATTCCTGGCTCTCGGTGCTCTCACTCTCCGGCGACCTCGAAGAACATCACATGACATATATTGGGACAACCTTCTATCAACATCTAAGACGTGGCTAGGCGCCGCGCTTCTTTTTGCCAGCTGGGATGTCGCTCTGACAGCTTCGTAACCGGCAATCCGCCCGTCATGAATGACAACACCGCAATACGGCGAGCGCAAGAAGCCGAAGGCACACGCCACGGACAGTGTTCGGTTCAGTGATGAATTCAACGGCGCTCGATGGTATCCTTGAGCGTCTGCAAGAAACCATTCAGTTCTTGTCAAAGGGCAAAGCTAGTCGACATAAAGCCAAATGTGTTTACGAACTTCAAGCCACCCTGCATCGACTTCAGCCTCACATCATCGTTCTCTATTGGAACTCTCCCAGCTCCAATCCTCCCTGCGTAGATGCGCAATTGACTACCGGCAAAGACCGTACTCCACATTGCGCAGGAGAAGCCTCGTAGTATAGGCGAGTATATAAATCTTCCTAACCTTCTCAACAGCATGCAGGGCTTTGCTCGTTCCTGAACCCATCAAGCATCATGCGTCGGGCCACGCTCCCACGACGGAGCGGTGACCTTCTTCGTGACATTGGACCAAGACTAGCTTTTACTCCTTTGAGTAGGGCCGTACTACTTTATCACCCGTCGTATCAGTCTCTCTGGGACGTCCAGCGCTCCGCGCGGGCTCTGGACATGACAAGCAGCTATCGATTCCCATCGGCTGAAGGGGAGACCTCACGAGGCTCTATACGAACGCCTCGGCGCTTCTTGGTTCTATTGCTGATTTCGTCGCCTCGCTAATATGACCGGCTTTGCAAATCAAGTGCAGCGGCGCGCGGACGACGGCCGAGTTCTCTTTACGTTCTCTCTGCGCCCATGAAGGAAGGGTTCGAGTTCGCCGCCGCTTGTATATATACGCCAAGCGGGGACGGTGGGCGCACGCGAGTCACCCCCCTCTATTACGCTCACGCGCCCTTCCGCTCCTCCGTAGTCGTAGTTGGTTTGTGCCATTGTCTGGACAGGCTTCGCTGACACCGGAGCTGGTTCTCTTCATCTATCGCTGATATGGGTGCTTACGACTTAACGCTGGGTGGGTGGTGCTCATCCTACCTGATACTTGGGCTCGGGCTAATTATGTGGTAGGCACTTTGCTCGTCGGCATCTGGTTCAACACGTACCTGTACGGTATCGTCACTTACCAGTCTGCGGCTTACTGGCGCACGCGTATGTCACGATCCTTTCGGCTCCCGAAGCGTCACAGGGCTGATGAACGCCACGATAGCCTTCAATGATCACCTACTCATCAAGTGCGTTCATAGCCTGAATGATGTGAGGCGATGATACTCACGATGACTACAGGGCGATGGTCCTATTCTTATTTGTGCTAGACACGGTCCATAGTGCAGCGTGAGTCTATCACTTTGACCGGCATGCATCGGCTAATGGCGTTTAACAGAGTATTGGAGATGGCTTGGTACTACTGGTATATCTGTCTTGTCACGCTCTGTTATTGCAATACTGAGTACTTGGGTCTGCAGTGTGACAAACTACGCCAACCCCGAGGCTCTGGGGGTTGCCCATTGGCCATACACGTTCACACCCATCGCCACGGCGTGTGCGTATCGTCGTTGTGATTGCATCGTCGTCTACTGACTGACTTGCATTTGACAGTGGCGGCGTTTGTCACACAGGCGTTCCTCGGATACCGGTAGGGCGCTTCATGCTGCACTGCATGTTTGGACTGCTTTGACCGATCAAATCGCAGGGTGTTCCGCTTGCTACACAACAACAAGTACATCTACGGTTTCTTGCTTACATGCGCATTCGTACGTGACCTTTGTGCGCCTATACGCACCGGCTAAGTGCCCATAGATCTCCATGGTCCTCGGTATATACTGCGGCTCCAAGGCTTGGTCTATTGCTGTGTATGTTGCAGTCCACCCTCATCTTCTCTTCCAATCGCTGATCAACGTTTAGACTTGCCGAGCTCTCCGTGCTCACGCCACCCGTCACCGCTTGGCTGTCTCTTCAAGCAAGTCTGGACCTCATACTTTGTGGTGCGTATCGTGATCTCGCGGCAGAAATGATAGCTAACGACACTCTTCAGGTCTCCTTGTTTATTGCTTCTTGGGCTCTCGTACCGGATTCCGTAGGACAGACGACGTCCTGAACCAGCTCATTCGCGGCGCCATTCAGGTACGACGGAGCGCCCAGATCCAGCAGCATTGTTCGCAGCGCTTATGCCGCCTCACAGACGGGGGTCTTCGCGGCCATGTTTGCCCTCGCCGACCTGGCCACCTTCATTCAATATCCCACGGCTAACTTCTGTGAGTGTTGTCGTTGTTGATGCAACAGTGCAGCTGATCAAGACCAACAAGATGGCATGTTCGCCATCCCTGTGAGTACCTGCGATGCATGAATCAACCTACATAGTTAACGTTCACCTCCTCAGATCGGTCGTATCGTGAGTACCAGGGCACCCAGAGGTTTCTTTTCAGCTAACTCCATACAATCCCGTGCAGTACACCAACGTGAGTGCCGCACGCGCTCTTGACCACGCGCTTGATATTGATCTTGTCCTTATAGACACTCCTTGACACGCTTCTCACCCGCGAGACATTGCGCAACAAATTCTCGTCGGACGATCACCAGAGCTCTCCGACGGCGGCGGCGGTATGCTTTTCCTCTGTCATACTAACAGCATCTTACGAAATATTCTCGTAGCCCCGCAGTGAACTTCGCTGGGGCCACTCGCACTCCGGAGAGGAGACCACCGCTGATTACCAACTGGATAACCGCGACGCAACCGCTACAACACTCGACGTTGGTGTCAAGTCAGTCGGCCTTGATCCGACCGGCAGCATAGGCTCCGACCGCGACCATGGTCATGACGACCGCAAGGCCCCTTCTATGGCCTGAAGAAGACAGGCCTCCTGCGCAGGGCAGTGGTCTGGCCGTCGCTCGAGAAAGACTTGGGTCAGTGCTGCATCCCCTGGCCATCCAAGTAGAGGTTGGACAGAGCGTTCGACGCCGCGAGGGAAGGCCTCAAAGTTGTCAAGCATAGTAGCTCACAGTCGCACACACGTTATTGCTTTGCCGATGCTTTCGAATGTCATCTTGATACTGTGAAAGTAGTACATACTAAGTAAAATGTGAGCGCGCATGCACGATTCGCGTGGTAAGCAGGTTCTAGAACGTTGTTGCCTGACCGCCGGATTACAGTGATCGCTTGAGCGCAAGAAGCTGTACATATCTTCTGCAGCGTCGCTGTCTTCTAGCAGAACCGAACATGGCTGGCCGCTGGGGCCAGTCGTCTAGACAATGCCGTGCGACCCGGCATTGTTTGCCGAGCCACGTGTTGATCGATTCTCACGGTCGAATGCCCAAGCAAGGACATTGTCCTCCTCTTGCCGCTTTTCTCCCACCATCGGGAAAGTGTTGTTCTGTGAACAATAAACATGTCACTTATGCAGCTTTGCCTTATATTTGCCATGGCGTCGTATCACTATGGGACATCATCCGCCTCTGTGCGCTGGGTCTCCATCCGTGTCCTTCCTCGCTTCACCTTCGCGGCCTGGTGCCCATCATTACGACTGACACGACCGCGCGCCATTGATTCATAGACACACGCCTACCTTCTCAAGCAATGCTTTACTCCACCATTTTGATCCTGTTCCACTTATGCCTGGCGCAGTCCGTGGCCGGCCATGCTAGTACGTATCACGACAAAATTGCTTTGGCCTTTGGACTGACACGGACGCAGGTATCTGGCACCCGAGCATGCTCGGCTTCAACGTCACCGCCGAAACCTTCCCATACGACAATCGCCCGGTGTCGCCACTCATGGACATGACCTTTGACCAATGGTGGTTTCATGGCCATCTTGCCTATCCGCCTCACCCCGAAGACGTTTTCGAACTGCCTGCGGGCACGAATGTCACGACTCAAATTGGCTGCAACAAGGGCGCGACCGACTTCTTTGCCTCGTCCGAGGGCGGCGATATACGCAATGGTAACGACCCATGCCCTGGAAGCCCGCCGAGCGAGTATCACACGAATGGCATCGACGATGTTAAGGGCTGCGCCCTGGCCATCGCTTACAAGGACGATTTCAACTCGACGCAACCCGAGGACTTCACGGTATTCAGTGTCAACCAGACATGTGTCTGGTCGCGCTTCACCGAATTCTCAGTACCCGAGCGTATGCCCCCATGCCCGAACGGGAAATGCATCTGTGCTTGGTTCTGGATCCACTCCCAGGACAGTGGAGGAGAGCAGAGTGCGTTTGTTTCCCGGTATCTGTGTAGCTCTTGCTGAACATCCCGTGCAGACTATATGAACGGTTTTCAGTGCAATATCACCAACTCAGTCTCTGATGTACCTCTCGCGAAGCCAGAGGTTCCGCGTCGTTGCGGCGCCGACCCCGACTTCGGCAAACAGCTCCCTGCTCCCGGGAACTGTACCTATGGTGCGAAGCAACCTTTCTACTGGTTCCAAAAGGAGCGCAATAACGTTCGTGTCATCCCTGAGATCCCTGGTATCTTCTCACTAACCCTGACTCACAGATGAACGAGGGCACCTATGCGCCTCCTTTCTATCTCGACCTTTACGGTTTTCTTGACGGGCCCCAGGACGATATCTTCCAAGATTCTTACGCCAATATCCCCGAACCGAGCGACAACCAAACAGTGCTTCCGACGCTCAAGACCGTCGTACCTGGGCAGCGCCTTGCTGTTCCTGACCTCCACTTATTGCCATCCAATTTCCTTGCAACAGCACTGGCTGCGATCCCCTCTCCTACCATGTTCGTCGCTTCGATGGCGCCCGCCGCCCCGATGACGACTTCGTCCGCTCAAGCTACCATCGCTGCTTCGTCGGCTCAGCCCACCGGTGGTGCCTCGTCGTTCTCGTCTTCCGCGTCATCAACATCCACGAACATGGCTTCAACCACTTCTACTACAAGTTTCTCCACGTCAGCCCTATCAGCCGCGACGGTGACAGTCACTAATGTCGTCACCGTCGTCGTCGCGGTTGAGCCAGAGCCGACCGCTACGCCCATTGCGTCTGGAAATAATGTTACCAACGTTGCCTTTGATCTATCCCTCCCCGGAAGCAGCAGTCTGCTTGCCGCCAATGACACCACAGATCCCGGCGCTCTGAAACCCTCCACTCGACCCAGATCCTGGTATGCCTGGATAGTTGACTCAGAGAGCGATCTCCTTGACTAACGTATACTCCCAGTACTCGCGCACCCAACCTTTTGGCTGCCGACCACTCTACTCCCACTAAACGATCAATCGCAGAGCGCCTCGGGATGGGAACATACACCAAACGCGATATCCGATCCCGGAGCTTGTGGTCGTTCTGGTAAACGCACCGCAATGCTCGTACTCTCTTCCTCGGTTCAAAGCTTCTCTTTCACTTGGGACTTCCGGTTGCCACCCATGTACAAACCTTATCTCAACACTCACTGTAATACTATATCAAGGCACTTTGTATCTGTCTCGTGTTGTAGTCCTCCTGTGGCGATGTTGAGAGACTATGCATTCGTGTGAAGCGCAGTGCCTCTTTCGACTGAAGCTCGGAACTTCGGGTCATTCATCAGAGCGCCTTCACTTCTTAAGGCGTATTGGGCGTCTACGGTACACTATAAAGGCTTCGTGTGGCTAGCCGGCTTCCCTTCGAGATTTCGGCTGACTCTAGACTTCATCCAGCCTTGAAGATGTCACAGGGCGCTCAGGGAGTCACGGTCGTACATGGCGGCCACGATGGTGCCACACTCCAGCATCTGGACCTGCTTAACGTTGACATTCAGGTCACTATCATAGACAGTACGTCGGTCCTCATTCGTATCATGACACAACACCCATACCGACATTGATAGCCGCCGCTCATGTCGTCCTACTGCATGTCTTCGAAAATATGAATCGGGAGAAGTCCGGGAGAGCAAAACTCATACTGCCTGTTCCAGCGGGCTCTGCTGTCTGCGCCTTCCAAATGGAGACCTCAGACGGCAAGTTTGTAGTTGGACAGGTGAAAGAGAAGGGCGAGGCAGAGAATATATTCGCGATGGCTCTCGAGCACGGACAGACGACTGGTGTGGTGAACTGGGCTGGCGATGACGGTAAGAGCTTCGAATGACAATACTATCAGTCTTTGACACTTGACAGTGTTTACCATGTCCCTTGGCAATATCTCGGGTAGAACCTCTGTCATCACAAAGACGACGGTGTGTCCGATCGGTCTCTTTATGAGAATATACTGTCTCATTCATGTTGCAGCTGGTTATGAACCTTATGGACGACTCATCTGCTGACGAAATACGTCTCCTTCTGCCTGTAGCCATCGGAGCGCAGCGCTATGGGCTACCTCTTCCGGAGGCTCGCGATGCCGCCCACTCGCAGACGTCTACGCGCCTTCGCTTCACTGCAACAGTCCAGACTGGCGGCTACCTACGAAAGCTCTATAGCCCAAGTCATGGCGCCAGCATGAATGTTCAGTTCTATCGCAATCACCGTGGTACCGACTCACGCCACCGAGCGGAGATCAAGATGCGTTCGAAGACCTTTCTGGCGTCGGACTTGGTGATTTGCGCCAAAGCCGATGGGCTGGACGCACCGCGCTGCTTCGGCGAATATGACGCAGACGGTGGTACCGTTGCGCTGCAGCTGAGCTTGGCCCCGAACTTCGAGATTGCGCGACCGGCCTCTCAGGAGTTCCTATTCCTTGTCGACTGCAGTGGTAGTATGGGCCCAGAAGATCGCATTGAGACAGCAAAGCGTGCGCTCACCATTCTACTTCGCATACTGCCGAACGAAGGCAGTTCATTCAATATCTTTTGTTTTGGTTCCACATGCGTCAGGATGTGGATGGGCAGTAGACCGTATAACCAAGCGAACGTCGATGAAGCGGTAAGGATACGCGTGTATGCCACAACTCAAGTTGTCTGACGAAAACAAGAGTGCATACATCAGTAACATCACCGCGGAGCTTGGGGGAACTGAAATCAACGCTGCGATGAAAGTAGTGCTCGCGTCGAGGAGCGCAAGTGTGCCGACCATTATATATGCGTTGACAGATGGAGAAGTAGGTCTATGTCGATTCCATCGCGCGACGTAAGCATGCTGAGGTTTTCTTTAGGTGCACCAAGAAGAGATAGACGCGACGTGCCAAACGGTTCAGAGCGCGGTGAAATCGACCGACACGATTCGATCCCCTATTCGTGTGTTCACGCTTGGTATCGGGCACTCTGTTTCTTCAGCTTTGTGCGAAGGTGTCGCGCGCACTGGACGTGGGGTCGCGCTTTTCGCGGTCGACTCCGACGAGATCATAGCAAAGTGTGCCCGCCTTGTTGGCGCAGGGATACATCCTACCATCACGGACATCGAGGTCGACTGGGGTCTTGGACCCGCGAGCGCGTCTCTGCGGCCACTACCTGTCATCCAGCAGAGTCCGCCGGAGATCACGACGTTGTATCGCAACCATCGCTTTGTGGTGTACGCCATCCTGCGGACGTCGCATATGCCAAGACAGGTCGTTCTACGCGGAAGGGTACAGAATGGCGCGGCAGATCGGATCGAGGTTCCTGTATCCGTTCGCACTGCGAAGCGTTTTTCATCTGCTGCCCACATCAACAATAGTAGCGCCTTCTTGCACACACTCGCTGCGCGGGGTCTCATACGCGATCTACGCGACGGCAGACTCACGTCCAACCCCGCCGATGCAGGTACGCCGCACGATCTGGCACAGAAAGCAGAGATAGTGCGCCTTGGTGTAGCGTACCAGCTTGTGAGCGAGCATACGTCGTTCGTGGGTGTTGATGAGGGAGAGACGGTTCGGAGGATGCAGCAGCTCTGGCGGGAGCGGAGAAGGGGTCGCCTTCAGACTCGGCCGTCCCGAACTGCAAGCAGTCCGAACGCCACTTCCCTGTCCGCGTTGGCTGGGGCAGCATTCGATTGGATCACCGGTGCATTCAGCTGGGTGTTGAGTAGCGGTTCGTCGAGCTCGCGTGGTCGTATGCCCGGTGGTTACAGTACACGCAGTGGAACTCCTGACGCCAGGAGCCGAGCAAGCAGCTCGCATTCCGATGACACGCAGCGACAGGATGGCGCATCGGAGGATGGAAGCGTCGTCGACGACGACACGGACGAGTACTCAAGCGACCATTCCTTCTCGTCCATCAGCTCGCTGGAGAGTCACTCGACTCTGAATGTCACCCGTCCCCGACGTCGCTCGTCTCGTGGAGCAGAGCGTCAAGAGCCAACAAGGATCAGAGAAGGGTCGCCTGAACTACGCCCAGCGTCAAAGACTGAGCACGTTCCTCCTCCACGACCACAGCCGCAGGCAGACGACCTCAGTCTTCTGACCATGCAGGCGTTTGACGGCTCCTTCGCTCCGAGTGATGAGCTATCTCGCATCCTTGGACGTGATACAACTGTGGAGGCAGCCGCTCTAGGCGTACTTCCGGTGGTATGGGCCACGGCGAGGGTACTCGCGTATCTGGAAGCGAAGTTACAGAACCAGCAAGAACTTCTCGACGTCGTGCGCGACAAGATCATGGATTATGGAGCGAAGGTAGTAGGGATGATCGAGTTTCAGAGGTTATTGGCAGAGGCAAGGGCCTCACGTTGAACATGCCTGTCATTTGTGGGGCTTGTACCATGGATATGCAAATGCGTCTGGGTAATAATATGTGGATGGTGTTCAAAGGTGCAGGTTCTAGTACGCGATGGTTTCAGCATGGTTTGACCTGGACGCGTCGCCCGCTCTCTAGGATGTTAATGGCCTGCTCGATCTCGACGAACCAAGTCCATCCCTTCACATCTCCGTTTGAGCCTGCCCTGAATGGGTACTTTGCGTGCTTCAGCCCAGATCTCCAAGGCAGGCCAAAGACGTGGAGGTGCAGATGGTCCACGCTGTTAAAGGGGGGTATATGGAACCCCATTCTACCTCCCGCATTAGACATGCTCCGATGAGTCATGTGTCTGTCACTCACAGACGTTGTCCTTGGGGTACATCTAGAACATCCAGACGCTCGGTCCCAATGCGCTCCATGTCACGCACTAAGGATAGAGTAAGTAATACCCGCCAAGAAGGATACAAAGAACGCATACGCATGCCCGCGTCACTTGCATTCAGAGCCTTGATGCTCACTATGTGCAGGAAGTGATGTAAGCGATCATACCTTCACAAGGCTCCTCAAATATGAGTGGACATACCGACATGTTTCCGCGGGATCACCAGCATGTGGTGAAGAGCAGCTGGGCTTCGGTCGTTGAGAACTATGTAGTCTACGTCCTGACGCCATTGAGAGAGATTGAGATGCGTCAGGTGGTAGATTCTTACCTCATACTGAACATTAAAGCCATTCTCCTTCGTCGCATCGCAGAATGCGCATGAAGGTTCAGGTTGGGACGGAAAACATGATGACAAGAAGCCGAACAGCATACGAGACGTGAACCACTTCACTTCTGAATGAAGGCCTGTTGCACTTGGGAAGAATGAAGTGTTAATGCCTGGCTACGGAGGTCTTGAACGGGAGATGGGAGTAGGGATTAACCCACGCGCGAACGGACACACCCGACGCGCCCGGTGTGCAGAACACGGTCACATGGCTTTTCCACGGCTATAACCTGCTATGACTACCCAGTAAAGCTGTCGCGCTCGTATTAGCATGTAGGCCCACACCCTTCACAAAACCATCGCTGCGAGAGAAATACGCTCATAGGGCGTGGCAACTTGACTTGAGGAGACTTGAAATACTCGTAGATTGGCCCAATGATGATTAATTAACCTATATACCCATCAAACTTCGATGTATAGTACGAGACTCGCTTTACGACAGCGAGTCCTAACGAGATCTTCCTTCAGAAGCCCCAGAGTGCGCGCATACTCCGTATTTCCATTGCCTGCTTTCGAGTGTACGTGCCCATACCAATTGCGCGCTTAAAGCGGGTGAACAGGGCTTGATCGTCATCCGACGGCGAAGCAACAGCGGGACTGCTGCAGTCATCGTTAGCTCATGGGTAAACATAGAGTGAGTACTATGAGCGAACCAGTGACGAGATGACCCTTGGCCTCCCGATCCCCCGAGTCCTGATGTTGCTGAGGGTGCGGAGGTACTGGCTGTCGAGGAGGGAGTTGAGGAGGGCACTGAGCCCGTACTGCCCGGCGTGCCTGTCGGAACAACGAAGGTGGGACCTAAGAGATCCAAATCTGGTACAGGCAAACGCGCCAAGTTCTTCGGTACCGGAAGAGCGGTCTGGTTTTCCCCCGGCGACGGCACAGTCGTGTACGAGTCCTCGAAAATATCATCCTGCGGTCCGTCGAGAAAGCCATAGAGGTCGAGATAGAATGGAGGTGAATAAGTTCCCTCGAACATCTGCGTTTCCTGAGTAAGCTGGGTTCCGAAAATTAGCTTAGAGCACCTACGTTGTTGCGCTCGGCCTGGAACCAGTAGAAGGGCTGCTTTGCGCCGTACGTGCAATTAGCAGGCGCCGGAAGTTGCTTACCAGAGTCAGGATCTGCGCCACAGCGCCTTGGCAATTGAGACTTCGCCACGGGAGTGTTGGACACTGAGTTGGTGACGTTGCACTGGAAGCCATTCATGTAATCTATAGAGTAGTATTAGCGGTGGACATAGAGACGGAAGAATACACGCACTCTGCTCTCCCCCACTATCTTGCGAGTGAATCCAAAACCAAGCGCAGATACACTTGCCATTCGGGCAAGGAGGCATATTGGCCGGCACCGAGAAGTCCGTGAACCGTGACCAAACGCAAGTCTGGTTGATGCTGAACACCGTGAAATCCTCGGGCTGAGTCGCGTTGAAGTCATCCTTGTAGGCAATAGCCAAAGCACAACCCTTGACGTCGTCGATGCCAGTTGTGTGGTACTCGCTAGTCGGACTTCCGGGACAAGGGTCGTTGCCGTTGCGGATATCGCCGCCGTCGGAGGATGCGAAAAAGTCGGTAGCGCCCTTGTTGCAGCCGATCTGCGTTGTGACGTTTGTGCCGGCAGGTAGCTCGAAGACATCTTCTGGGTGGGGAGGGTAGGCGAGATGGCCGTGGAACCACCACTGGTCGAAGGTCATGTCGCTGAGTGGCGACACTGGGCGATTGTCGTAAGGAAATGTCTCTCCAGTGACGTTAAAGCCGAGCATGCTCGGGTGCCAGATGCCTGCAGATGGGTGAGCTGAGATCCATCGGCAATGAGATCTGCGCTACGCACTCGCATGTCCAGCAACGAGGGGCAATCTCGAGAACAAGGCTATAGCAAGAAGGGGCAGCATGGCGTGAAACCTGACAGGCAGGGTATCTAGGTTATGAAACTCGTTCCTCGTCAAACCAGTTGACACGAGGTAGCAGCCGTGAAGGTCGTGAAAGAGACGTTTGTGGGGCTCTCGGGGCTGAAGCGCGAAGACGACTATACATTTTGGGTCCTATTGTTCTCAACATGGCTGCACGTCAAGCGCCCATGGTCTGCGGCCGGCGATCTTTGGCCGGTGGGAAAACACGTTCGGCAACTTCCGTGCACGTTGCGTTGGGATTCTGCTTTCTCTCGCCTCGTTGCAGTCGTTTCAATAAGTTTCTTCTTTTCTTAGCATGTTCCGTCAACTTGATGAGAGCTGTAGAATGCAGTATACTGTATTTCTTCGTCGACCGGTTTGCGTCATGACCCGTCTAGTCCGCCACTTGTCGAACGGCACACGATGTGAAGCAGCTCGGCGACTTAGATGTGGAGACCATCGAGGACACATACACGAGGCCTCTATCGATGCACAGATTGTGCTCTTTCTGAGGGATGATGCGCTTTAGACCAGTCTACACAAAGCGGCGGGACTGCCTGCAGGCAACCCCGAGTCTGGTGCCTGGCTGCGACGCCCACGCAACCCTCTCTATACTCACATCAAATGCCTCGTGTCTCGTCTTTCACCTTTGTGCAGTTGCGCTCGTTTGAGTATAAGTATGACTGCCCACCTAGAGCGTTTCTACAGCTTCTCTTGGCCCCGAGCCTCATATCGCTTACCTTTCTCCTCCGCCGTCGCATCCCCAAAGACCTCCAACGATGTCCTTCACCCTTGACTTCTCTACGCCATCCATCGACGCACTAGTCGATAATCACCAACGCTGCTATGTTCGCCCCGCCGTGCGCGCCGATCCGGATCATCCGGATATGCTATATCTTGAGTATGGTCCGAAGGCGCAGAACTATCAAGACCCAACTGCCTTCTGGCGCGACTGGGAGGGGCTCCAATTGCCTAACGATGTGCGTCCCCTTTCACCGCTTGTCGATCGAGATCTAGAAGATCTGACACGTCACAGGTCTACTCCGCTGCCTCTATGGACTGGGAACGGAAACACTCGCTCGATAGCGACCAGCATCCGTTCCTTCCCCGTCGCCAGTCGATCTATGCCCAAACACCCAATGTGAACCGTGTCGCGCCTGAGCCGGACGTCCCACTCGGTGACTACGTCCGCAGCTCTCGCGACGACATCTGCATCGCTCCTTGGCTCGTCATGGGCCCACCATCCGCGCCCAGACCCGCGTCTAAGGAAGTCAAACCTCCAACGCAGACCGCCGCTGCCGCGTCCACTTTGAAGAAGTGCCTCGTAGACTTCTCTCAATTCACGTTCACCCCGTCATCAGCATCTCGCCATCACGAGGATGACGATAGCTCTCCGCCGCCCTCATCACCATCCTCTAGCTCAAGCACGGGCTCGGGACGGTCCGAGTGCAGCACCCCCATGACCACGCCTGAGCGTGACTTCAAGCCTCTCCCTCGCCGTTCTACTTCGCCGCCTGACGCAGGCACGACATCCCATCACCGCAAGGCATACCGCGCTGTGTCGCCTACCTTCACTGACTCTGACTCGGGCGACGAGTACGAAGATGACGACTACGTCCGCGCTCCGAAGCGCAAGGCCAAGTCCGCCACTCGTAAGGCTGCTCCGAAGCGTCGCCGCGCCCCCGTCCCCGTCGCCGCGCCATCCCCTTCTCCTAACTCGTCTGATGTCGTACATCCGCCACTTCCCACACAGCCTAACGCTCGCGGACGCTGGCCATGCCCCTACAACGACTGCTTACACGAGACGGGCGCATTCGGCGATCTCCAGCGGCACCTGGAGAGCCTCGCGCACACCCCGGAGAAGCGCCACCGCTGCGGGACGTGCCATACCACATTCACGCGCGAGGATGCGCTCAAGCGGCATGTGCAGAAGCGCCCTGAACGCTGCAGGATGATTGCTCGTGGACTGATCAAGCTCAAGGTTGAGTGAGTGTTGTATCCACCACACCTCCAGTAGGCCACTGGGGTGAGCCGCGGGCCAGCGTCCGCGTAACGTAGATGCCGTTGCTTGTTTATGACCTTTATGGCCGGATCTCTCTCTCTCTCATTGTGTACCTCTTTCGCATTTCTGTAGCACTATGATACCCTTTTCTGTACGCGTCTCGACATCTGTAGCTTCTCAATACATACTGACTGGCACACAATTGCACTGTGTTCTCTCTACTCTTCCCCGATCCCGATCTCAACGTCAGCGTCAACTATGTCCGCGCCAATCAGAGCGCGTTAATCACGCTGCCTCCGCGCCCGCATCATTTCCGTTTGCGAAAGAAACCAGATAATCACATGTGCCTCGCGTCGCACCCCAAACCGGCGACATCGAACTGGCTACCCTGAGTATATAGCTGACGCGCGCGTGTTTCCTACCCCGCATCACGTCTTGACTGCTTGCTCCCACTGTCCCCTTGCGCGTAGTCACCATGTCGAAGGAGCTCAAGACGTTTACTCGCGAGGAAGTCGCGAAGCACAATACCGTCGATGACATGGTGCGCCGAGTTGCCTGTACTGAAGTGCCATCCGTTGAATAGACATTTATAGTGGGTCATCATCGACAGTAAGGTCTATGACCTTACCAGGTTCAAGAACCTGCACCCCGGTGGCGCTGCTGTACTACTCGACGACGAAGTCGGTGCGTGAACCCCACATCTTTGTACTACGCAATTGTGTCTTATGTGTCCGACTTTGTATAGCTGGCCAGGACGCTACCGAAGCTTTCTACGGTTTACACAGGCACGAAGTGCTTGAGAGGCCTCAATATAAGCGCCTTCAGATCGGTTCCATCAAAGACGAGAAGGCGGTCATCTATGGCGCACAGCTTCCCGGTCAGCTCTCGCTTGTCCCCTACGCCGAACCAACATGGCTCGCGCAGGGCTTCAAGAGCCCCTACTACGACGACGTATGTCCTTCCCACTGCCAAGAACCTGGTGTGACTGTATTCTGATGTTTTGCAGAGCCATCGAGCGTTGCAGAAGGCCGTTCGCCAGTTCGTTGACGAGGTCATCTACCCCGACGCGCAGGCAAGAGAGGAGGATGGCAAGCGACCCAGCCTGGATGTCATTGAGAAGATGGCCGAGGTCAATATCCACGCTATGCGCATGGGCCCCGGAAAGCATCTGAAGGGCCGCAAGCTGATGGGTGGCATCGTGGAGCCAGAGACGGTCAGTAGTTTCCCATACACGTCTATCCGCGCGCTAGAATCGTCGCTCTTCTACGCCACTCCGTCATGAACTTACGCTGACGTTGACTGTCTTAGTACAACTACTTCCACGAGCTTGTGGTACAGCAGGAGATCCCTCGCGTTGGCGCTCGCGGGTATGGAGACGGTCTCAACGCTGGTCAAGTCATTGGTCTTCCCCCAGTCCTTAACTTCGGCAACCCAGAGTTACGTGAGCGCGTTGCGAACGAGGTCCTCAGTGGGAAGAAGTTCATCTGCTTGGCCATCTCCGAGGCGTTTGCTGGCTCCGATGTCATGGGTCTTCAGACAACAGCTGCCAAGACGGAGGACGGCAAGCACTGGATCATCAACGGCACCAAGAAGTAAGCCTGAGGGATCTATGTCTTCTATGAGCTTCTGACTAACGCGCTCGCAGGTGGATTACGAACGGTGTCTTCTGCGACTACTTCACCGTCGGTTGCAAGACCGAGGACGGCTTCACTGTCATCCTCGTCGAGCGCTCGGATGGTCTCGAGACGAAGAGCATCAAGACGAGCTACTCGCCCACTGCTGGCACTGCTTTCGTCACCTTCGACAATGTCAAGGTGCCCGTCGAGAACACACTCGGCGAGGAGGGCGGAGGCATCTTCGTCATGCTCTCGAACTTCAACCACGAGCGATGGGTGATGTGCTGCAACAGCGTCGCCAGCCAACGAGCCATCGTCCAAGAATGTCTTCTCTGGATCTCGCAGCGCAAGGCGTTCGGCAAGCCGCTATCGAGCCAGGCGGTCATTCGTAGCAAGATCGCTGGTATGATCGCGCGCACGGAGGGTGCTCAGGCGTGGCTGGAGAACGTCACGTACCAGATGTGCAACATGAACTACAAGGAGCAGGCAAGCAAGCTTGCGGGGTACGTCGCCTTCTTGTCCTATGTCGTCGTCAGCCTGCTCACAGTGCCGCAGACAAATTGGTCTCTTGAAGATGTTCTGCACGCAGTCGGCACAGCAGACCGCAAGGGACGCCGTCCAGATCTTCGGTGGTCGTGGTATCACTCGCACCGGTATGGGTCGCTTCATTGAGCATGTGAGTGTTTCTCATTTCCTCTGTTGTCGGGGCTGCACTTATCGTCCTCGCAGTACCACCGTACAATTACCTTCGACGCGCTTCTCGGCGGTGCGGAGGATGTCCTCGGCGATCTCGGTGTTCGCCAGGCTTTGCGCCAGATGCCCAAGAACGCAAGGCTATGAGCAAACGCTGCGCCCATTTTGTTGGATCTCATATACCATTACTACCTTTTCTTCTGCCCTGTACTCCATTGCTTGTTTATGTATCGCTAATAACACGCACTCGTCAATTATACTGACATTGTACAAACGAAGGGGAGTCATCATCTCGCTCAATGATAAGAGAGTAGCAAGAACTGATATAAGAAGAATAATGTAAGAAACCGGGATTAGACGACAATGAATAGATGTACATATGAGCGCGCCGGTGGTAGAAGTGATATACGAGCGACTCGGGAAGACAGGAAAAATCGGGATTGGCTATCAACGATTAGACGCTCTCCCTCCGGTAGAAGCGGATGCGAGACCACTGAACCCGTTCCCTTGTATGGGAGGTGAAGCCCGCGTCTTGATGGCTGGGGACTTGCTGGTTGCAGCGGCTTTCTTCGCTCTCGCAGAAGTGACCCGACTGGTCCGCGGTGCCGGCTCGGGCTCCGGTGAAGTAGAGGAAGAAGGCTCCCTTCGCTTGCGCTTCGCCACTGTGGTCACACAAATGAGTATCTTCGTTGTCTGAACGCAAAAAGCATTGCCGCACCTTTACGCTTCTTAGGTTGTGGCGCATCGTCGACATCCATCTCGTCGTCGCTCTCCAGCGCTTCCTCACCATAATCTTGCAGCTTCTCCACGAAGTCGTAGTACCTCCGACACGTATTACTATTGTACATAACATTATCCGCCCCGTCACGAGCGCGTTGTCGGCCTTGTTTGATAGCTCGATAGAGGGCCTCCGTCGAGAACTCTTCGCGCAATGTATACACGAGGTATATACACATCACGAAATCCACAGGCGCAAGCTGCGCAGGGCATCAGTACACAAGTATGAGAATCAACGATGCCCAACGACGCACCGATTTTTGAGCCGGTCCTGACTTGACTTCCATCGCGCCTGGCATCTCGATGACATCCATGAATTTCTCCATGCTCTCGCGGATGCCCTCGGCCATCACCTCCGTCATAGCGTGTTTCCCACCTTCTTCGGCCAACCACTTGTTCAGTTGTGTGGGCGTCGTCGAGTTCGTTATTTCCGTGCCTCTCCGGATTGTATAGCAAGCCGTAGCAATCCAACGAAACACGGTGTCGCGCGCGGTGCGAAAGCCGAGGTCTGCTAAGCGCTCGGTGTATAGGTTGGTGAGGTCTTGAACGAGGTCGGTCTTGCGATTCCGTGCGAGGGCCTTCATCTTCTCTGTAGAGTACCTCGTCAGGAACAAGTAGTATAATCGAGAGCCACCCAGCGTACCTGCGTCGTTCAAAGCCATACCCAGTTGGACACGCTGCGAATGCGACATCAGTCATCATCGAGAACAGTGTGGCAATCCCGCGTACTCTGAAGATCTCGCGCTCGTCGTTCTGAAACTGGATGAGCCACCGTCTTGCACCCCACACAACTCAGAACGAACCTCGTCAAGATCGAAGTACTCAATACAGACGATCTGCTTGGTCCCGAACAAGTTCTTGTACTTGCCGGGAAGCTGGGCTGCATTCTTGACGGGATTTGTGAAGTAATACTTGTCGCGGGCGTTGTCACTGTGTGGGTTCCGACGTTCTCAGCGGATGTGGTCGGCATAAGAGCTTGAAACGCACGGGTCTCGATCTAGAGGTGAAGGCGTCGGTTAAAGTGTACAGCTGAGCGTGTAGCTGGGACGCACGGTATATCTGCCAGACAATAAGCTAACAACAAGACGAATGTGGTACAAGTAACGCACCAGACCATCCATAAACTTCTGAATAGACGTCAAACGTTGCTTTCCGTCGATGCATGTTCTCTGAAATGCCGATTAGACTAGACTAATATCATATAAGTATCGGAATTGGGCACTCACCGCCTCCGTGCCATCCTCGTGCGTTGAAACGGCTGGATGCCATGAGTAGTGCCACCGAGCGGGTGATAGATAGCATACCGAAGATGAGTGGCGGGATGTAGAAGTTGCGAAAGATGGAGTCTATCAGGCCTATCTTCGACTGTTTCAGTGATGGCGGAAAGCAGGGTTGAGGGCAATATTCACCTGCTTTTCCGTGCTCCACACAACGTCTGCGAGCACCGTCAGTGAATATTACCATAACGAGTTCACCGCCACGCACCTCGCTGATATTCTGGGCCCAGGTTGATGCTTCCATCCACTATTTGGTCTGATAGTAATACAACTTGAGACCATCACCGACAGCTTCCCATGACGCGTTTGCCGTACCGTAGAGTGACTGGGCGGTATATGTCGTTGACCGCGGCGGCTTCAGTGCGTGTTTGATCCTATAGTCCTGACGCCCCTTTGACTTCGCTTTCGGAGCATCATCTTCGGAACTAGACATATTGCCACAAACAGGGGGTCGGCGAGACGGTGGTCGGAGGTACACACGCACGGCGCGAAGGCTTCGCGACTAAACAAACGCGGTGGTGTGACTTGCTGATCGCAGTCGCGCTCGAGGGTTTGTTCGGAAAAGCGCATCAAATATAGGTATACGCTGCGATCATATTCCGAGACGACATGCTACATATGAGAGGTCAACGTGAGGTACAGTAAAACATGATGCGACAGGATTTCTGGGTTCAAAAAGTCACTACATCCACCAGGCTGACAAGGTCCCGATACCACGCCTCCGTCTGCGTCCTTTCCAGATGAGATGGAACCTGCAGATATTGTATAGGCACCCCTGCGCTCGATCGCTTTTGTAGCATGTGGATCAGCTTTGGGATCCATAACGAGCCGCCTCGTATCTCGTAACCCTCGACCGTGGATGCGGCAGCCCGCTTGGCATCAAGCCCGTCGTTGACGAGAGTCAGAATTTGCAAGCGTGGAAAAAGTATTCCTCTTTCTGACCTCGACCCGTTGGAGAGCTCTGAAATGACAACGCCTTTGAGCTCTGCGCCAGAGACATACAGGTGCTCGACTTTTGTCCAGCCCTTGAGTCGCTGACGCAAGACATCCTGCGTAACGCGAGCGGCATCACCGTCTTCAGCCGATAGGTGGAGAGCGACTGTGCCGTTGCCCATGGCGTTGACAATGCGCGCGAGCTCCCCGTCCTCTGAACTGAGGGTATCCCATGCCCTTCCGTCACCAGTACGCGAACTCGATTGGAAGGAGACGGTAAGATTTGGCGCGGAGCCCTCGTCAGGTCTCTCGGAGCGATGCGCCTCGAGCTTCCATCGCGGGTTCACTGTGGAATGGTTGCGTGCAGGGAGCAATCCAAAGACAGGTTGATCGGAAGTATGCTCGAATAAGACAGATGAGAGTGGTGCGTCCACTCGAGACAAATGGGCGAGAATCGCTGAACAGGCCAATGACCTGGATGGAGCGGTATCCGGCTCCCGTAGACGGATGTTCACCCGTAGTCGTACTTCGGGATGAAGAGCGAGAGCACCGAGTAAGGCTCCCACGGCGTCCTCGTCGCCGCTCAGCTCGACGTTGCGGCACGCAGTGAGTGTGAACTTGGATGCGTCCAGTCCTTCCACGCCCATGTCTTCTGGGAGGTTCAACATGCGTAGACTCTCAAGAGAAGCGATTTCGGCTATGGCCGACAGTAGCTCTATAGCTTGGGACGAGCTCATCGCTGCTGGTAGCCCAGAGTACTCTGCGGCAAGGCTCCATATGCGATCGAAGTTGAGCGTCATTGTACGCAAATGACACAGCCATTGAACTGCTCGACGCCAATCCATCCTCTGGATAAAGCCAATGACAGACAGCTCACGAAGAGCTTCAGGTTGTAACGTAGCGAAGGGGTCCGATGCGTAATTCGAATCGCCGCACGCGAGGTGTAACGTGTGCAAGTTGCGCAGAGGATGTGCTGCGAGAACCTGCTGCGATTTGGGCCGGTCCATCATCATCAAGGGTATAGACAGATACCCCACTCGCAGATGTGCTTCTCCACAAAGTAGGCGTAATACTGCCCAAGAATCATTCGAGCCATACTGTAGCACATTTTCGTCGCTATCGCGTATGGGTCGTATGCGGACCCGATCCCATGACAGGGTTAGCTCCTGGTTTCCACTTCTGGCCAGGAAACCCTGAGCGGCGGCCATGATCATATTGTTGTTGAAACTGGCCCATAGGCCAGGCATGCCCACGATGGTATCGCGCCAGAGTCGACAGACGTGCGCAAGATTGAGCCATCCGAGATACAAGACGTGGCAACGAAAGCAAGCTCGGGACGATTGTCGGAGTAGTGCTCGATCGTGGTCTTTACACGTGGACATGGCCTGGCTCATATAAGGAGAGTCTCTCGACACGATTTCAAAGATGATCATGAGTAGTTCAGTCGGAAGTGAAGACATTGCGAATGTTTGAAGATGGTGGTAAGAAGGAAGCAGCGAGCGCGCCGCTGCAACGTGTCCCCTTCCGCCATCAGCTTCAGATGGCACACGGACGTCGGGTAAGGTTGAGTTCCGTCTCAAACGACTATAGCCCAGTAGCCCGTAGCCCGTAGCCCTTTCTCACGACCGGCTCACGGAGTCGGTCCGAATCAATCCGGGCCATTGTTTTGAATCGAGTGGCCCGCACGCGCCTCTGCGCGCCTGCGATATGTACAGGGCAGTAATTTCGCCCTCGCGTTCAGCNGATGCCGTGCAGCCCAGGGTGGGAAACCGGGGAATAATGAGGGCGCGCGCGCGCGAGGTCTACGGGCGAAACAAAACAATGCTCCAGTGGCCCAGTGGCCCGGTCGAAAACGATCCCCGGGCTACTGCACGTGAGGATTGTTTGGGGCGTTGGGCCACGGGCCACTGGGCTGTAGTGGTTTGGGACATAATTCACGTATTTTGCGGACGTCCCAAACACTGGTCGAAGGAGAATCTTAAGCCGAGAAGTATCAAAGGTAAAGCAAGGATAGCATTTGAAACAGTTACAGACAAGTGTATAGAGTACAGAGTAGATACACAGTCAATCACGCATATAGGCAGATGTAGCGCGCACGGAAGGGTATTAGGCGCATAAAACAGGCAGACAATCGTATCGTCGTATCATCGCGGGATAGCTCGATCTCCACCATAGCACTGAGTGTGGAAGATATGTCGTTTACCGACCGAATAGGCTCTTCAAACCACCACCCGAGCTTCCGCCGTTCAGCTCACGAACCCTCACAGCGCGCTCCCTATCATCTGCGCCCTTCATAACGCGTAGGGTCTCAACCTCCTCAGCCTTCTCCCTGAGCATCTCCGTCGTCTCGCGTGCATGGGCCCTAGACGACTCGAGCGCCTCACCGGCCGCACGGCTGTGAGCGAGCGCAGTCTCGTGCGCACGACGCGCGGCGAGGAGAGCGAGCTCCGCCTTGTGTTCTGCTGCGAGGGCCTTGGTGTGTGCGGAGTGCGCGACGGCTTCATCGCGGATGGAGGCTTTCTGAAGACGTTGGAGGTCGGCGAGCTCGCGCAGGGCGACGTCCATCGCTTTTCCCTCTGCAACAGCCTCGGACTTGATGACCTTGCTCAGCTTGCGGTTGTGGCGCACTGCAGATAATTAATGTCAGGACCATTCCGACTCGATAGAACTGCAAGTTTCCGACTTACACTCAGCCTTAGCGATCCGCGCCGAGTCCTTCTTCGTCAAGCTCTGCTCCGCCAGAGCGCGCCTCTGCGCAACATCGTCCTCCACATCGGGGTCGACGTACGGCTGGACCGTGACCGCTCCGTTCCCGAACGTGCTACCAGTCGTGTTACTAGTGCGAACACTGGCCGCACGGCCACGGCTGGCAATCGAGCTCGCCCGGCCGGCACCGTCGCCCGTACCGCGCTGAGAACGACGAGAGCGGACAGACGCATTACGCAAAATCGGCTTTGGCTGAGCACCGGGGTCGGATAACTGGTAGCCTTCACGGTCCGCGGGCGGGGTAACAGGATCGCCGGGGTACACGATCCGATCCTCAGTCGGCGCACGACCGCGAGGAGGGATATTCAGCGAAGCCGGCGATGCGGCCCGCTGAGCCGGCGAATGGGTGCCACTGCCAGGAGGCGAACTGCGAGCGGCGGCAATGGCCGGGGCAGCGGCAGCGGGGTTAAATGAAGAGCTCATGCGGGGAGAGGACTGCGACTGGCGGTCGATAGGGGCACCGACACCCGTGCCTGCGCCAGTGACAGCGGGGTGCTGAGGTGGCGCATCGACGACATTGCCAGATTGGGTGACGAGGGGCGGGTTTGCGGTAGGAGAAGGCGTGTTTCCAATCTCGGCTCCAGCAATAGCACCGGTAGCCACAGAAGGAGCAGCCCCTTGTTGAGCGGGTTCAATGAAGCGCGGAGTCTGCGTCACAGGCTCGGGCGTAGGTTGAGAGATATTGTTGGCGGCGGGCTGGCCACCAGACGCGAAGGCCGAGCCATTGGCAGCGCTGAGAGAAGGCGGAAGGCTGGAAGCGGCAGTAGGCGACGAGTGCATTATCGCGTCGTCGTTGTTCACATTCTTGAACTTGCTGTCGGGTCCGGGGCCGCCAGGGACGTTCGGCCCGGGCGTCTCCGGCTGCTGGCTGTTAGACACCTCGAGGGGCTCAGCCTGAGGCTGGTCGTCAGACGGCGCGGTCTTGACGATCTTGCTGTTGCGTTTAGAGGAGCGAGAGAATAGACCCATTGTGAGTGCGAGGATGTGGTAAAGTGAATGGTGTGGAGCGGAGGCCTACCGATTATATACGTGCAACTTAACCCTGTCCGTGTCATGGTTCGGAACGACGTCATCTTTTGATGCCGATCGGCGAGCCACAACTTCTCGCAAGCGCGCGGTCTAAGTGGAACATCTCGCTCTAGTCTCTCTCCTAACACCGCTATAACGTACAATATTAAAACTACCCCTACGCACCCGGAGCCGAGACCTCCCTCGTCTCATCCACAAACAACACCCTCTTATGCGGGTATACGGCCTCCACAACCTCGCGTTCAACCCACTTGCCATCCAACTGTGGCACCAACTCGTATTCGACGGCGAGCGCAGCGAGGACGCCGCCGTATGCATGCGAGATCCCTGTGAATATGTCAATAAAGCGCGGCCACGGGACGTCTAACCGATCCGGAACGTACCGGTGTCGATGATGAGGATCTTGCCGTTGCACCGCGAGACTATTTTCTGTAAGGCGGTGCGTTAGCGCATCTGCATCCGAAAACTCGAGGGGCCCAGATAGGATTAAGCTCAAGCTTTCGGCGCTAGCCTCGATGCCTCAGGCCTCAAGTCCGAATGGACAATGGCATGCGCGAATTCGGAGCCCTTGATATGACGCCTACCTCGAAATCGGGCGTGTGCCCCATCACCATCCTCCTCGTCCCTGTCCTTTGCAATACATCATCCACTGCAGCGCATACGTCGCTCTCTGGGGCAAGAGCCCAGCCCCTGTACCAGTACGGCCCTCCAGTGTCGTACAACAAGTGTTCGTCTTCCGTCGTATCGTTCGGTAGACCGGGATAAGGGTTTGGTGGGTGCGGCGGCACAGCATCGCGAGCTTGCAACTTGTGCAGCAGACCCCGACCAAGCGTATTGATCGCACTGGGGAAGGGCGTCAAGTGCTGGTAGTTCGGTGCGAGGCCGCCATGAACGAAGCTGTACGCTGCGTGTGACAATGGCGAAGGCAATAGCGAGGACTGGGAACCGGGCTCGAAGGGGTAATCTTCGTTTGGCTCGCCCAATGACGGGTGTAGTGGTACCCGAGAGGTGGTCGTATAGTTCGTCGCCCAAGCTCGCCCGATGCGGCCTGTAGCCAGCTCTTTCTGGCGAGCGGCGATCCCGCCAAAGGTCTTGATTTCCGTCTGCGGAACGTATCGCCAGTCACCTATTGAAGAATTAGCAACTACAATCACTCGACGCGATAGATGGACATATACCTAT